TTGTTGGTAGTTTTTTGTTTCATCTGATTCGTGATAGATGAATCAGGATGGGATTATTCTAAATGGGTATTAAAAATACTATACTTATACTTTAATAAATAATTTAGTTTTTCTCCAAACGTCAAAAAAACGTCACTTTGTCAGCACCTGTCAAGATGTTAGAAATTTAATTTCTATGCTGGTAGGCAAATCCAGCGGGTTAACACCTGTCGAGGTAGTAGAAATTTAATTTCTATGCTGCTAGGCAACCGCAGCGGCAGTAGAAGTACTTTTAGTGCCGCTCGTACTTTTACTGCCGCTTCACCATTCATTTGCGCCCGAGCTTACCCATTCGTTTGGAGAAAAAATAGCGTGTTGCATACGGAGTAGAAGCACTTTTTTGTGCTTCAGCAGTATTGCAAGCCTCACTACGTTCGGCTCGCAAACCTACTGCTTCAGCACAAAAAAGTAAAGCTTCTACTCCTAATACAACAATATACTATTATTGATTAATAGTTTGATGATTTATTGTGCGTAAATTATTAGAGTAGTTTAAGGTTCTTTTGCCTGACAAAAAATATTGTATTTTATTACATTATGCAATGCAAAGTATCATTACCTTGCTTGACAGATAATTAGTCACAAAATGCCCTTTTATATGAAAATGGGTTTCATGTAAATTATGTGAGAGGTTTTTTTAGTTTGATACATTTTATATGCTTGCTTCATAAAAATTATGTCGATAGGTAATAACTATGAATAATTTCATTTTTGCCTCATAAATTTCATTATTAATTATTCTAGAAGTTAAATTAATCCAGCATATTCAGCCAGAATAAATGTATTATTACCTACTATAAAGCATTGGGAAATTTGACACTCCATTTATAAACTATTGTTATTGCCATTATGAATAATTTGAATTATTTGAACAAAAAAGGTTTAAATTGTTGAAAATCCAAAAACCTATTTGGCAGTTTAACAAGTTTTCAACCGTTTGCCAACAATGTACGCCATAATTTTATATTTGTCTTTGCTCTTTGCTCAGCAATAAATTTAACTGCATTTTGTTTTATTTGTTCAAGTACCTAGTTGTGTAGGTTGAAACGCTAGCCAAAATATTTACTTTTTAATCTCAAATAAGTAGACCACTAGGTACATATTTCCTGAAACACGTGGGAATACTTTTTTATAGATGAGAAACTTGGCGAATGGATATCTTATAAAATTAACATAGGTACTTGGAATCGCTATATTCTAGTATAGTAGAATACACTTAGTCCTTATTTGTGAATAATCTTCATGAGGAGGATGAACATAGTTCCTTTTAATCCTTTTTCAAGCTTAAAGTTATTGTTGCAGGAAGTCCTGATGGTAGTCATTTTTACTACGGTACAGTAAATCTCATCACAATTGAATGAATGCTTCTGTGCAAATCCTCTCACGACCAATAGTGCCGCAAAGAATCAGTATTTACTCAATATTGAATTCCTGTATTATTTCTTTCAACTGATTCAAATTCTTCTTCATATGACCCTTTTGCAAATATTTCATCTTCTTCTAGAATTATTCTTCAATTCATCCTGTGTTTCTACCTACCTCAATTTACATATCTATAGCACACAGGGTTACTAGCACCTGCAAGGCCGCAACTAGAACCCTCGGCGCCCAAGGCAAGTCCAAATTTTGGCGCCCGTCCACCGCCTTCTCAATAGTAAAACTTAAGTTTTTCTTTAAGGACTTGCTAAAATCCCAGGACTGCTAGAACTGGTTCAGAAACGGTTCCGAACCGATTCTGGTTGATCCAGAACTGTAACTAAAAGTTCGGAATTTTGTGATCCGCGAACGCCGTTACTTGAACTGCGCATGCGAAATAGTTTCGAACCAGTTCAGAATCCTTACCGCGAACGAAGCTATTGTAAAAGTAAAAGCTGTTTACAGAAACTATGATCGGGTAACCCGAACGCCAACAGACGTATTTTGTCTTTTTTCAATCGTATTCATTGAGGAAAGATAGAAAACATTCAGATGCTGATCGGGTTAACCCGATTATAGTTTCCGTAAACGACTAAATAAAAAAGAGTCAAAAGAGATAATACATGCAGCATGCAGAGGGCGGCCACGTCGCCCATAGTGCTCTTGCTCAGTTTGGTCGGATCAAAGCTCGACTTGAAGCTAATCTCTGGCTAACGAATGTTGGGCGCTACGTCATCAATACTTGAATTTATCACAGACATTGCAATTTGCTGCTGTATTTTGCATGCGCACTGTGTTTGACATAATTTATATGATTACTATCGATATTCGTATTGTTGATGGTTGACAAAGAGAGATGTAATACAAGCAAAATAAATTTCCGTGCTACGACAAATGACGCGTAAAACCGTTGAATTTTTTTGGATTGTAAAACATGGATGAATCAAATCAGCCCTAGGCGGGCGCCTAGTTCGCCACCCCCTAGTTGCGGCCCTGAGCACCTGGATACAGTGTTTACATTTTGCTATATGCAACAATCTGTGGTCACAATCTTTCAGAAAATTAATTAAATTCGTTGTATTCAGGTTGGTTTCCAAATAATCTGTTAAAGTGTTGCCGATTTGATGTCTAATTCTTTGAGGAGCGAATATTGTGTACTCTACCAGAAAGAGTTTCACAGTCATGATTTCGTCACAGGTAATGGCTCTGTTTTATTGAGGAGATGTTCATGGTTCAGACGTGTGTGGCCGATTCTCAGTCTCGTAATGACAGCCTCTACTGGTCTACTGGCGGTCCACGTTTTATGTGCTGTAACTAGGGATTTTACTTCATGCAGTTTGCTTGCCATAAGTCGCGCACCAGAGATTTCGCGTGGCACTTAAAGTCACTGGAGGTTGGTCCTGACTGAATGATAGATACGTCGGTTATTGCTCCTCTTGCACAAAAATCGGCTGCCTCATTCCCCAGAATTCCTACATGTGATGGGACCTAAATGAAGGCTACAGTCTTTTCATCGTTCTGGATATCGAGAAGAGATTTTTTGATTGAGGCTTCCAGATTACTACTTGGATACACGTTGGTTATTGCGTTTATCGAACTGAGGGAGTCACTGAGAATTACATATTCTTGTGGTGGGCTTTGCTGTATGTGTTTAAGTGCTTGGTATATCGCAAAAAGTTCGCCAGTATATGTGGATGTTATTGGATCGAGCTTGTATTTGAACTTCATTGGTGTCTGCCACTACAGCCGCACCAGTGCCATCATTTGTTCTAGAGGCATTAGTGTAAATTTTTGTGCTATGCCGGAATCTGTCCATGATTTTGTGTAGTTGTGTGTATTACAGCTTTGTTTGTGCTATTTTTGTCGTATCTAGTCGGGCTTATGTCAACACTTGGTTTATTAAGGGTCCATGGTGGTGCTTCTAGAGTAATGTTACTTGGGGCCAACTCTGGGAATTCCAGGTTCAGATTATTGCAGTACCGATTAAGTCTCTCGTAGAAGGCCGTTTTGTTTGAGGTTTGGTGTCGTAGATTCTTTTATATCTTTTTGAAAATACATTGCTGTATATGAGATGACGAGCGGGAGAAAACTGGGCAATTCTTGTTGCATAACAGATAGATAGCATTATTCTTCGGAGTTCCAATGGCGGCTCACTGCTCTCACAAAGCAGACTTTCGATCGGGCTTGTATGGAAAGCGCCCAAGGCTATGCGTATTCCTGAGCTGTGGAGCTTGTCTAAAAGTAATAAGGTGGATTTCGTTGCTGAGTTATAGACTATGCATCCGTAATCAAGTTTTGCCCTAATGGTTGCTCTGTAGATTTTCAGCAAGGAGGAAGTGCTTGCGCCCCAAAACTTGTATGATAGTATTTTCATTAAGTTAAGGCCTTTTTGGCAATCTACGACTAGTTTCTTGATGTGTGGGACCCAGGATAGTTTTCTGTCGAAGATAAGTCCCAAAAATTTTATGTTGTTGAAAAATTCTAGGTCTTTTTGGTAGAGTCCTAATTTTGCAATTGTTTCTATATTTTTTTTTGAGAAAAGGACACATTTTGTTTTTTCTGTGGAAAATTTAAAACCATGTGTATGTGACCAGTTTTGCAGATTTAGTATATTTTGTTGGAGAAATGTGCACATAGACTGTATATTCTTCCCTTTTATGGTGAGGACCACATCGTCAGCAAATGATCGGAACTTCACGGGGAGGAATATTGGATTAGAGATATTGTTAATTGCTGCTAAAAACAGAGTTTCACTCAGCACGGATTTCTGCGGAGTTCGATTCTGCTGCGTGAATGCTTCCGACGAAGGTAATTTTGTTCCAAATAGCAGGCTAGTCTTCTATTTAGAATTTTTTCTAGAAGATTACACATAACGCATGTAAGCGAAATTGGTATGTAGGACGAGAGGTCCGATTTATCTTTGCCCGATTTTAAAATGGGGATTACTATCGCTTTTGACCAGATCTTGGGAAATTTGTGATTTTGAAAGATGTGATTGTAAAATTCCAAGAGGAGTTCTTTAACTTGATAAGGAGGATACTGGATAAAACTTGCGGGTATATTATCGGGGTCTGGGCTTGAGTTCCTTAGACCGGAGAGAGATTTTTCAAACTCCCACATCGTGATGGGTAGATTGAATTGGCTCTCCTGTTCGTGTATGTTAATGGGAGAGTTTGTTTCTAGATTTAACTTGTATTCTAGAAATTGGGGGTCATAGTTGTGGTTGCTGGACAAGGTTTCGTATGTTTTGCATAGGACATTGGCAACATCTTGGTTTTCTTCTGCGATGTTATTATTGTTTTTTAAATGTAATATGGGGGAATATGTATTTTTTTGTTCTCGAACAGGTCCAATACTTGCTCATATGTAATTGGGAATGGGGGGTTACGTTCTTGGATAAATTGCTTGACAGGTTCCAGTTGCTCGCATAATTGTTGGTGTAGTTCTTTCATTGATTTGGCTTGTTTCAGTGGTTGTGCAATTGGATTAATGAATTCATCTGGCGTTTTCCTTACTTCTGTTGGCGTAAGTATTTCTGAGATGTTTCATTTATTCTGGTGAGGTTCGGAATTTACTGGTTCTGTCTCATGATTTGAAGTATTCGTGTCCATGCTAGATTGAGGGGTGGCCTTGTTAGTTTCTGTTGGAGTATTTTCTTTAGGGGGTGAAGTGTTACTTGATGATGTTGGGTCAATTTCATTACGATTAGGGCATTGCGATGCAATATCTCCCGTCTGTTTGCACTCGAAACAGGACGTTCCATCCTAAGAAAGAAATATGCGATAGGAGGTGTTATCATGTGAAATAACTAGAGAGCTTGGTACTTCTATACTTTCGGAGGGGTGTATATAGACTTGTCTACGAAAACTCAATATGTGGTTGTATTCAGGATTTATCACGCTAATTCTCAAAAAGGTCATTGCCGAGACTAATTTGAGGCCTATTTTCTTGAGCTCATCCTCTAAGAGTGCGTGAGGAATAGTGGGGGATACATTTGAAAGTAGCAGGCACTGTGCTGGTGAAACAAGTCTGTGGGCTTTCAGTCTTTGTCCTTTAACGGTTATTGCTCCGTATTGGAAAAAAAAGTCGTCTACCTTTTTTTTGTTTGTTAAATATATGCAGATCCGATTGTTTGAGATTCTTGATGTAAATGATGGTCCAACCAAGGGACCTAGGGCGAAGATATATTCTTGTAGTGAAGAGTCTTCTAGGGCCCTAGAAGAATTGTTTGCTTTTTGGAAAGAAAGTTGAGGTGAGATAAAGCATCGGAATAGGTTTTTTGGAGCGAGGGGTGAGTTTGTGATGGGGTTGGGATGTCAGTGAGACCTTGGTTTTTGTTTCTGTTCCCAGAGCAATTGCCATTCAACTCATCCATTTTGATGGAAACTATTTGCTGAAAGCATGGAGAAATTCTTACTCAGGTCCTGTCTTGGCAGTAGCCTGACGCTTGGAGACCGCGGTAGACACTGTAGGTATTTCCTTTGTGACATTTTAATTTTTCTTCTTGTTATCCTGACATGATGGTTCTTGTTGATTTTTTCCAACAGTTCTCACTCTTTCTCGGTTCTTTTTCATATCCTCTCTGTTTTTTTTATTTTCAACGTGTTCCTCTTACTGCTTCTCTTTCTATTGAAAACCATGTCTCTTGAGGTTATACATTTTTCTTTTCCTAATTCAATAGAAAGGTTCATAGGCGCAACTATAGGCTCTAAATTTGAGGGGTGCTATAGCACTATTTTTTTTTGGTGGGGTTTGATGGAAAGTAAATGACGCGCGTAAAAAAAAACTTTGTTACACGAGGGTTTGTACTTACGCCATCATTTGCCTTCCTTTTTTAACAAATAAGTTTTTTTATGTCTGAAATTTCAAATAAACATATAGTTCCTTGCACGAAGGTTTGTACTTACGTCATCGATGACGTCATAACTTCGAAAAAAGGGTTTAGTTTGTCGTAGGTTAATTAGGTTGACGTCACACACATTGAAAGTGATGTTACGTCATGTGACGCTTTGTTTATCCCCCAACGAAAAAGAGGCTATGTGTGACGTCAGCTAGTGCTTAATTTTTTTGAAAAATTTAATGGATGGCTTCTGGGCCCGTATTCCCCTAACCGGGGAACAGCGTTCTCAAAAGAACGATTTCTCTGTCTTAGTCGCCAAGTCGCCCATATTGTTATTTCCCTAATACTGACAAAGACAGAGCAATCCTGTTCCCCGGCTACGAGAATACAAGCCCTGGTTTTGAGAACCAACGAATGTCTACGACGTCATTAATTTATTTCATTCATTTATTATTTTTGTTTAAAAAGAAGGCAAATGATGATGTAAGCATAAACCCTCGTGAAACAAACTTTTGGTCCGCAAACGCTCCGTTACCGATCTACAGAGTGTTTAAATTTCAATATGTTTTTAGTATTTTCTTTAGAGCTTCTGCAATTTTTGAGGGATTTAGCTCAAAAGGAGCAAACATTACACATAGCAAACGTTTGCCAGAATCTACAGGGTGATACTTATTTCTATCTTATTTATAAACTTTTCGTTCTCTTGTATAGTTTTAAATATTGAAATTTCTATGTTTATTTGAAATTTCATTCATAAAAAAAAAAGAATCACCCCTTTTCGTTTGTACATGATGGAACACCCTGTATAGTACGCAGTTAATTAATTTAGATATTTTCGGATGACTCAAATGAACTCTATTCTAAGTTGAAATTTTCATAACAAAACAATAATTCCGAACGTGCTCTATAAATTATTAATCAACGACAAACCCTTTTTTCAAAGTTATGACGTCATCGATGACGTAAGTACGTACAAAAAGTGCAAAAAAAAAATAATAATTTATTGAAACGTCTGCATGCCACGAAAATCCAACATATAACAGACGATAAAACTTGTAAAAAATTATAAATAATTTGGTTACACTGATTTTTTATATTAGTTTTAGGTTTTGCTATGGTGGAATGCCGAATGGGGGTGCTAATTTCTGTTTTAGGGGTGCTTAGCACCCCCAAGCACCCCCCTAGTTGCGCCTATGGAAAGGTTATGTATATATGCACAGTTTCACTATGTCTACCTATCATAATACAAATTGCCAGTCAATTTTTTTTTCCATTATGTGTTGTATCAAGGGAGATAAAGTGCATTAAAGCAAATAAAATGGAAATCCCTATCTTGCGGGCTTATTCATCCATTCTGGAACTAACATTGAGCAACTATACATAAACATAAACATAAACTAAATTGCGTTATGTGTGTGTTGTAGAACTTTATGAAAGCATATATTAATAATTATTGTATTTGCTTAGATTGGCGCAAAACTATTAAATAGGTACTTGCAATTACTACTAGAGAAGGTGCAATAAGGCATATTCTCACCCTATATCCGTGGCTGAGAGATATATTATTTTCTGCAAAATGTCGTTCTATTTGAAAAAAAAAATGTCCCCGACCCACAAATCAAACAAAGAAAATTTCCAATTCCGAATGAGATTGGGTATGGCCAAATAGACTGCGCATAATTTGCCAAAGAAAAAAAAAACGAATTTGTGAAGAACAATTATTGATTCAAACATTCAATTCAAACAAATTTTTTGCTATGGCAAGATAGATATCGCAAAACGTACTCCAAAGGGCATTTCTTTGGCAGATTCTGGAACTGATAGAATATAGGTATAAGGAAAAATCGACGACAAAAGAGATTCTTTGTACGTTTAGGCCGGTAAAACCCTTTTTTATACAACATCATTGATTTGGAAACAAATGGTTGAATGAGTATCAATAAACACATCAAACGGTTTGATTGTTTTCAAGTAACGGCTTATTTCTTTTTGGGTCTTTAGTTTTGTTCTGGAATCGAGACACGGGAAAACTCGAGTATCGTTCGTAGGTACCTACTTACTGACTCTGTAAAATTGTTTTGTAATTTGTAATTAGAGTAAGACGAGAGTCTTTCGAGTAATATCGCCAGCCATAAGGATTTTCGCATTTGTGTAGGAACAGAATGGTAGGAAATCTTGAACTGAAATAATTGCTTGAAGTAATTTTATTATGAATTTGTGCTGATTATTTAGCTTATCTTTTCCCACCCAAACTCTCAAAAACACATTGGATAATAAATACAAGGATTAAATATATCTAGAAAATAAAATGACTTCATTAACTTGGAAATCGGTTTCAGATCAAATGATTTTTGATGGGGGCCATTTTCCAGGTGAAGAAGAAGCTGTGTATCGAAACGTTTGCGTTGATGCGAGAATTTAAAAAAAAAGAACTTTAATAAAATTCAATTACAAAATGCTTGATCTGTTAGGTATTTACCTACTGGCTTTCATTTTATTATTACTGAGAGGGTATCACCACTCATAGTCCATAATTGAAGCGTCGATTGAATTTTATTTTCGAGGAAATCCTTGTAATCGGCTATAACTCAGGAATAGGGATTATCTCTCTCTCTCCCATTTATTTTAACTGATTCAATTTAAAGGGCATTATCAAAAACAGAGAAAGCCAATAAAAACGGAAAGCTTTAGAATCCGTTTTTCATTGTTTTTCTATAGAAAAACCCTGGTCACACGTTTCCATTCATTTATTAAGTTGCCAAAACCCACCTACTTTCATTGTTGGATAATTCAATGAGGAATTTATTGTAAAAGCCTATCATTATTCAACTTGAATAGGACATGCACTTTTCATTAGGTTTCAAGTAAAATTGTCAAGTACCTACAAAAAAAAATAATAATCATGCAAAGACCATAATGAAACTTATCCGCTCCAAATAGGAAGAAGATTATTGAGTGTAGAAAGCGGTAAAATGAAAGGCAAGGATAATCATGACCAAAGATACCTACTTTTTTGAACAAATTATAGCAAGAGCTGAAAAATTTATGAGTAGCGAAAGATATACCTACCTACCATTACAGAATTGAAAAAATTGAAACCTTCAAACCTATCCCTATAACTCTCTTTAATAGTTAGTCCATTTCAAAATTTTTATTAATGTGTGGATGAGCTATCAACAAGCTTCACCTTAATGCAATTGAAAGTAATTTAATAAACCCGTTTTTTAATATAAAAAATCAAGGAACGTTCTTGTAGTAAAAATGTTTTTACCTTTTGAGGTAAAAACATTGTGCTTTGGCACAAGTAATCAATTGTACCACGCCCTCTTCAAGCTGTACCAAATTACCTTTTCTTGACCAACCAAAGCTAATCTTGGAATTCTCGAGAGCGTTATTCAATGAAAGGAAACATTGTACGCTGTTTCCACTCGAGTAGAGCATATACTTGCCATTGTGTCCAGTTCATTCATTGAGAAATGTTATACAAGCAGTGTTAAGAAAGCATAGAAAAGTCAAGATTCTTTTCTATAAAGGAATGCATGCCATCAATTATAGGGGACTTAGAGGCAACTTTATGCCAAATTTGTCGCTGGTCTTAAGAATTTGTCAACTGAATGCTGTTCAATGATACACGTGGATGACTTGTCTAATTTGCCGTCATTTTAAGGTGAAAATGTGGAATTTTAGTTTCGGTATGAAAGGTGTTCGATTTTTGGTCAATTTATCGTTTCGCCCGTAGGTACCTACAATTTGAATTTCAATAAATCAACTTTTGTCCAGTGATTTTAGGTCGGTTTATTTTTTACGTAAAACGTTGTTATTTCGAAGTATGCACACTAGCACGTGGATATTTAAATGGATTTTCTATTTCAATATGAAAATAAAATTGGGTATTTCAATTTAGTTACTCTCCGCGTTTTTGAAATTTATTTGAATTTTTATTTTTTTAACCAGGGACACGTGTTTTGGCCATCTATAAAGCATCATCATGAAATAAAATGAATTTCCAGTTACAGTTAAATGGGCATGATGCTTGGATTGAGCGAAACACATCATACTTCTCAAGTAGGTATTGTTATAAATCATACAGAGTTATATCGACGTTGCTAAATTTACGTTTTCTTCGAGTTGGAGAAATTGTGCCTAGTCTGGCAACGCCGTATAGGGAATTCCTAGAGATGAGTGCTTAAAATAACAGGAAAGCTCTTAAACCGGCCTTTCGTATTTGATGAACGACCCAGAATTTTCGAGGAAGGATTTTATTTTTGATGGAATAATAATAATAATTTATAGATAATTAAAAAGGGATTGAACGATACTGTTATATAAGAAGCCCGTGACGTCATGCAGTTAGTTGATAATCCGTTGATTAGTTTATCAGTTTTGTAAACAACTAAGCTTAATTCAAGTGATTCGGAGTCTTGTAATACTGCGTCTGGTTTGTTGTGGTTTTTGTGTCATTATCTTTAATGACTTTAATGAATTTTAAGTTTAGTCAACCAGGACAGACTATTCCAGTGGCGGATACAGTGGGGGGCTAGGCCCCCCCTTTTTAAAATAAAATAATAAAATTAAAAAAAAAAAAAGAAAACACAACCATATTTTGAATTTTAAGAATGTTTAGAAAGCTCGAAACCTATAAAAAAAATCACACTTTTGTCTTTGTCCCAAGAACTTTAACCTCAAACAGTATGTCATTAGTGGTTGAGTTGAGTAAATATTCATACAAAATCAATATATAAGATTATGTACAGGGTGATTTTTTTATATATTGACACCCCACCTCGACCTACAGCCTTTACCTTTACAGGTAGATGAAAGGTGTAAATACAAAAGTTGTACAGTATTGGCTAAATTTTTAAAATATATGGTCAAAAGCAAAAATTGAATGACAGAATTGTGAAATATTGCATGCTTTCAGCTTTTTTCAAATAGGATGCGCTATATTTGGTTCTATATTCTTGAAGAACACAATTTCCCGATTCCAAAGCTATATAGTTTGTCTATATTTGGTTGAGCTGTCTCCAACATATTTGGTCCTAAAAATTTTAAAAATACTATCAGAGAAACCAAGTAGTAGGTACCTACTTGGGTTTCTCTGCCCTCAAATTTTATCTATAGCTTTCACCTGTACAGGTAGAATGGTTCACAGCATCAGTAGTAGGATAGTATTTTTACAATTTTTGGAGCCAAATATATGAGAGATTGATTGCTCAATCAAATATAGATCGGGGCATTGTGCTCTTCAAGAATATAGAATGAAATATAGGGCATCCCATTTGAAAAAAGCTGGAAGCATGCAAAATTTCACATTTCTGACATTCAAATTTTGTTTCTGACCATGGTTTCTAAAAATTCAGCCAAAACTGTACAACTTTTGTATTTATACCTTTCTTCTACCTGTGAAGGTAAAGGCTGTAGGTGGGGTATTAATATATAAAAAAACAGCCTGTACAAATAAGTGGATTATTGCGGAACTTATGGGTGGACCTCTGCGGGACGAGCGCAGCGCTGCGCTCGTCCCGCAGCCATCTACTCACCAATATACTGTTGAACTGTTCAAATAAGACACTCACTTGAAACGTGTAGTTTTTGAACTAATGAGAAAAATTCACAACTGAGTGAATCAGGTTAGTATTGTACTTGAACAACATATTGATGAATATATGGCGCAGAGGTTCACCCATAAGTTCCGCAACAATCCACTCGTTTGTACTTGAATAACTTATCACAATATATTACTAGTTTGGTAAAGTAAAATTACTAATTCCTGTTAAAAGTCCAATTTACAAAAAGTGGATAATCTTACAAATTCTGCCTTTATATAATAAGTTAGTGTTCAAGTAAAAATAAGTGGATTATTGCGAAACTTATGGGCGGACCTCTGTGGAACGAGCGCAGTGAGTTCCGCAACCATCATCTAATCACCAATATACTATTGAACTGTTCAAATAAGACATTCACCTGTAATGTGTAATTTTTAAACTAATGAGTGATAACGCACATTTGAGTAAGTCAGTTTAGTATCGTAATTAAACAACATATTGATGAATAAATGCCTGCGGAACTCGCCGCGCTCGTCCCGCAGAGGTTCACTCATAAGTTCCGCAACAATCCACTCGTTTGTAGTCGAATAACTTTTCACAATATATTACTAGTTTGGTAAAGTACCATTACTAATTCCTGTTAAAAAGCCAATTGACAAAAAGTGGATAATCTTACAAATTCTGCCTTTATATAATAAGTTAGTGTTCAAGTAAAGATAAGTGGATTATTGCGGAACTTATGGGTGGACCTCTGCGGGACGAGGGCAGTGAGTTCCGCAGCCACTGTTGAACTATTCAAATAAGAGCTGAACCTGAAACTTGTAGTTTTTGAACTAATGAGAATAACTGACATTTGAGTGAGTCAGGTTAGTAGCGTACTTGAACAACGTATTAATGAATAGATGACTGCAGAACTCGCTGCGCTCGTCCCGCAGAGGTCCACTCATAAATTCCGCAACAATCCACTCGTTTGTACTTGAATAACTTGTCACATTATGTTACTAGTTTGGTGACGTAACATTACTAATTCCTGTTGGAAGGCAAATCGACAAAAAGTGGAAAATCTTACAAGTTCTGACTTTATATAATAGGTTATTGTTCAAGTACAGGGTGTTTTTTTATGTATTGACATCCCACCTATAGCCTTCACCAGTAAATGAAAGGTGTGAATACAAAAGTTGTTCAGTATTGGCTAAATATTTAGAATCCATGGTCAGAAACAAAAATTGAATGTCAGAAATGTGAAATGTTGCATGCTTTCAGCTTTTTTCAAATGGAATGCCCTATATTTGGTTCTATATTCTTGAAGAGCACAATTTCTCGATTCCAAAAATATATAGTTTATCTATATTTGGTTGAGCCAAGAGAAACCAAGTACCTCAAATTTTACCTGCAGCTTTCACCTGTATAGGTAGAATGGTTCAGTAAATCAGTAGTAGAATAGTATTTTTACAATTTTTGGAGCCGAATATAGGTATGAGAGACTGTTCAATCAAATATAGACGAACTATATACTTTTGGAATTGGGGCATTGTGCTCTTTAAGTTCAAGAATATAGAGCATCCCATTTGAAAAAAGCTGGAAGCATGCAAAATTTCTTATTTCTGACATTCAAATTTTGTTTCTGACCAACATTTCTAAAAATTCAGCCAGAACAGTACAACTTTTGTATTTACACCTTTCTTTTACCTGTAAGGGTAAAGGCTGTAGGTGGGGTGTCAATATATAAAAAAACACCCTGTACCTACCTATTTAAAATCACCTTATTCTCCTAAATAGTTCCCCCATTTCCATATGTTTATGTGCCATTCCTTCGAAACCGTATCTTGCACAAAGCGCTGCCAAAACTAACCCAAACTAACCCAATCTGGCTTACTTTAACTTAAACTGCCCCCCCCCCCTTTTCAAAAGGCCTGTATCCGCCCCTGGACTATTCTCGTTTATCTGCTAAAACGTATCAAAATTGGGACAAGTGAGTGAGTGAATCTCCTTCTATGGTGATTGGTGAATACGAAACAACAGACAGCCGAAATGGGTGATTACTTATACAAGGTGCTCGCTCTATTGGAAAATTTTGCAACAACAAGAAGTCAGCCACACCTACAACAGGACCAGCTGCAGACAATTTTGCGAGATCAAGAAGACAGACGGCTCAAAGAAAAACAGCACTCCAAAAATGTTTGCAATAACAGAAGAAGACTGAAAGGAAGATCAACATTCTGACAAGAAATTGGAAATGGTGGGTGCCTAGCTAGAAAAACGACAACGACCGGGACCGCAAGAAATTTCCAGTTTTGGTCAATCGATGAAGGGATACCTACTGGCTTTTTTGAGGTTTGTTATGCCTGCAAGATAACTTAATCACCCGTAAATAAGAAGGGAAATGCTTATTATAGTATATCAGACTGTTGTGCTACGGACCACGGAGCACGTGAATGATCTCTGTGCTTCCAAGTGAGGACTCAAGACATGATCTCGAAGAAAAGTGAAGATGTACTTATACCTGCAAGAAAATTGCAGTAGATAGATACAATACAATAAGTATCATGTGTTTTCTACGGGTTAGTTTTTAACGTGGTCAGAAGTACCTAGTTCTAATCCTTAATCAAGTAGCAGTTACAGTTTCAGAAGAATCACTTAAACAGATCCATAGCCAGAGATGGAACTTCATATCAATCAACGGAGTAATTTTGTATCCGAATCATGAAAACAACTAATAAAGTTTCTGGAAAACGACTCCACT